AGGAGAGGCTGCCAGGGCACCCCTGAGTGTAGAGCTACTCCTGTTCTAATCTCATCATCCAGGAAAGAAGTGTTCAGCCCTCTAGCTAGAGGTAAGACATGCCAATGGCAGCTCTTAAATGAAGTCTCATGGAGCATGTCAGGGCTCTAAAGTGTCTCAAGCCTCTGAAGGAGCTGGAATTGCATTGCCTCCTAGGCTGGAAAAATCCTCTCTGCATTGTCCCTGGGAAGACCTGGAGGGCTCTGCAGTCCTATAGCACCACTCCCTGGAGATGAAGGGATGGGACCGGCTGTGCAGCCAGGGGGAGCATGGACAGAGGCTGTTCCAAAGGCTGCCTCTCCCCGCTGAGCACTGCCATCTCCGGAGGCAACCGGGTCCCCTCCTGCAGCAGCCAGATGCAAGAGATGGGTGCAAAAGTTGGCAGCCATTGCTCCAAGCGCTGCCCAGGGTCAATCCATCACCATCTTGCCCTGCCAGGAGGATGGGCTGTGAACCCCTGTAGCTAGAAAGGAGTTATCCTTCCCAAAGGGGAAATGACCCTGAATTCAACCTCATGGGCTGCTCACGGACTCACACCAACACAGCCAGACCCTTCCGTGTGGATGGATGCTACACTGCTGGATGCATCGATGCTCTTCATGTTGAAAGGTTCCCCAAGGACACCAGCATAAGTCCCCACACCACCTCCTGCCTCCCAGCCAAACCAGACCATCATCCAAACAGCCTTTAACCTCTTGGGTGCACACAGAGGCAGGACCGCAGCAGCATCTTCTTCTAGAGGGCTTCAACTGAAAGCTGGGCCCGTAGCCCTGACCAGCATTATCCTGGAGAGAAGGGAGCTAGGACATACAATTGTACGGGGCGAACATACGGACATGGACATCCACAGCACACAGCAGACCAGGAACCTGCAGAGGAAGAAGCAGGGGCCTTCTGCCCCTTAGAGCCTTGGTCACTGACTGTTATGGATGGAGAAAAGCCTTTGCTAAGCAAGGCCTGAGAAGGGAAAATCAACAAGGAAGGAAAGAAGGTCTGGAGAGTCCCTAGGGCTGACATTAGCTCTCAGAAAATAGCATGGAAAAGCACTGCTGATTTATGAGCAGTCCTGATCTCGTTCTCCAAGTCACCAAAGATCACAGAATTTGGAGTCCTAACAAGAGAATTATATTTTTTGCTGCAAATCAGCCAAACACACCAAGTACACCTACTGCCAAGGAAGGCTCCTGTGTGAGGACCTGCTTTCTGCCCTAACAGGATCCATCATCACGTACTCAGGGGCTAAGAGGGGATTTCGCTCTTACGCTGTTGAAACCTGCTCTCCAGCTTGTTCATCCCAAGCTGGCACAGCTGCTCACCCTCAGCACTGATACATACAGCAAAATTAGCCAGGCCCAGCCCTGCCTGTGAAGAGAGGGGGAAAAAATCCAAGCTCTGGCAGAGGCATGGCTTAACACATTCATCAACACGCCCTGTGTCCTCCACCTGGGGTGGGAGTTAGCAGAAGAGCTCATCTGTCCCTCCCAGCTCAGGAGCATTGCTCTCCTCGGTGCTCATAACCCGATTTTAGAGACAAACTCCACTAATCTGGTATTGCTGCTCCCTCATCGGATGGGAATTTGGGGGAGTGGCTCTGAGGGACCGCAAGGCAAATGCCAGCAGAGGCTGAGCGCTGCAGAGGCAGGCTGCAGCAGTGCCACACACCAGCAGCCCTACTGCGCCCTTGGTGAGATGAAGCCACAGGCTGGGGTACCCGTACGACATCCTTTGGTTGTTACAAGCGGTTCCTGTAACAGGAACCTTCTTCCTTCTTCTACAAGGAAGAACCGTCAGACTTACCCCAGCTCCCCAGTTACCATCTTAACCCAGTCAAATAGCAATTGCAAAGAGTGATAGCAAACCATGAAAAAGGGATGTAGAACAGGTTATAGGCAATAATTTCTCTACATGCCACCAAGCTGAAGTATGAGTTCAGCCACCCTCAGGGTGCTGGGAGCGGCTGGCCAGCCTGCAGGGAGGACGGGGCCAGCCCGCAGGGAGCACGGCATGAGATCCTTTTGCTGAGCCAGAGGCAAACGAGCAGCACCAGGGGTGCAAGAGGGGTTTATCAGCACTGCCTGAGCAGCACGATTCCTCCCTCTCAGCTGTACCAGCGACTGGGTGACTGCTGCCGCTGCCGGCATCCAGAGGGCTGGTTTGGAACCTAGGTGAGAAGACTTTCACCGCAAGAAATGAGAGAAATAGAGCTCAGGACAACTCTGAAGTTCCCAAGGCTTTTGTAGCCTGCTTTCCTGTTTGTGACTCTGGGAAGGCCACTTACTTCCAGACAGGGAAGTT